CCATTTTGAATAAAATAAAAAAGATTAATAAAGATTTAAATCTTAAAGCATACAAGAATAAAATAGCACATCAAACTACAAAAATGCAAATATGATGTTTCATTTAAAATATATATATGTACTAATTCAGAAGTCAAACAACAAAAATCAGCGTTAATTTGCAAAATTTTCACAGTCCTGTGAAAATTTTGCAAATTAACGCTGATTTTTGTTGTTTGACTTCTGAATTAGTATTTATTCGGCGTGTTATTGTGTCTTAATATATATATGTGTTTACATGTAAGATAAATTTCCAACTTAGTTTGTAGCTGGCTCTTATAATTCCTTTTTAACTTGGGCATTTCCTTTATACAGTTATTAAGGATTTTCCATAGCAGGAAACAAGAAAAATTAGTAATGCCCTCAGTGGGATTCGAATTCCAGACCCTACTGATTGCTAGCCAGATGTGTTACTAATTACAGAATCATGCGGTAAAGAAGTAAAACCCCTTGTTTTCTTCAGTTCAAGAATGAATGGGAAGTGCAGACCAAGTTGCCAAATCCAGGTGGTGACAAATTACTGCCCATTATGTTTTAGTTCAGGCACCACTTATACAGTCATTAGGTTTGCTGAAGCAGGAACATGAAAAATTTACAATGCCCTCACCAGGATTCAAACTCCAGACCTCCTGAATGCTGGCCAGATGTGCTTCCACTTACACCACAAAGAAAGTGGTAAAAAGGGAGAAACCATCTAATGTCCTCCCTCATTTACAGGGTGACTGCAGAGAATGAGATCCAGTCACCAAACCTTCCGGTGACAAATTATAGTCCATCACATTTTAGTTCAGGTGCCATCGTAGAGAGAATCACCCTGATTTCTCAATTTTAGAACTTTTTGAAGACAGAAAACTGAAGAAATCCACAATATCCTTTCGAGGATTCAATCCTTGGATTTCCTGATTGCTAGCCAGAAGAGCTTCCAATTACACTTCTTAAAAAGAGTAACTTCTTGCATGGTTCTTTCTGTAAACCATGTTGTTTCAAAACTTATTCTTGTCATATGATTATTATATAACACTTGGAATACTTGATATTACACAAAGCAAAATATCTTTTGGTCAATAAAAATATTAAAACTTAAAACTTCATACTGTAACCTGTGTATTTATTATTTTTTTTTCCAGCTCATCTGTGTTGCTAGCCCATCCTTCTTCTTATTATTATTTGAAATATAAACATGTGAAGAGAACAATGTAATTGCTAAATGTTGGGCACATGTCTTCTGCCAAATTAGGTCTGTACGTCTGATAAACTGGCTTAGCTGTATATTTCTGTTTCAAGAATATTTTGTTAAGAATCAAAGTACCAAACCAGTTGCAACTGCACATACATCTTTATGCATCAGCTAGATCATGTTCTATGTCATAATTTTCATTTAATATCATATGATCAAAATTTTCATTACATACACACACATGTGTGCATGTGTCTTCATATACAGGAAGGAAATAAAAAAATAAACTTTTAATTGATAAATTCCTGTGCTAAAGCTGCAAGAGATAGAATTAAAAGTTTTTAGGTCAAAAAGAAATAATTTTTAATAGATTATCCTATCTGAGGAAAAATGTGAATGTCCAATAAATTGTGTCTGTAAATTGGAAGTGAAAAAAAAATTTGTTAAGCCTGAGATATAAACCTATCTTTTGTTCTTAAAGTGAGAAAAATGTAAGAATTGGTGTAACCATTTAAATTAAAGAATGATAAAAAATAAAAAGAATACTAATAAACTATACACTAATTCATACATTTTTTCTCACTTTAATAATGGAAGATAGGTTTACATCTCAGGCTTAACAAAATTTTGTTCACTTCCAGTTTACAGACAATTTATTGGACTTACACATTTTCCCTCAGATAGGATAATCAATTACAAAATAATTTCTTCCTGACCTAAAAACTTACATATTTCTCTCCCTTGTACTTTTAGCATGTGATTTAGAAACTTCTGATTTATAGTAATAGTTTGAAATGTATATGCAAACAGGAGTGATGTTGTATAAGTTAAAAGAATATTAATAAAATTGATTAAGAACTTTGAAATATATGATACAATAAATCTAATGTATTTTCATGTGTGTTTTTTAATGTGCTATGTTTATCATACAGTCAAAAGTCGTTAATTCGGACACCCATAATCCGGACCTCAAAGCTACAAACTTTCTGTGCATGCGTCGCGTTGACCTTTACGGCTGCGAATTTGCATGTGCGCGTGCGCATAATACATTTACGAATGCACGTTTAATGTATAACGGACAGTATAAGCTAAGCTAAAATTATCTAATTCAGTTAATGTTGCAGATTGCCTTGTTCCTTAATCTTCGAATTGGACTCGGCTTATTATTTTTTGCAGACTGTTACAGCAAATTTATAAAAGTAAGCTTGAACTTTCGATTATGTCAAATAGAATTTCTGATATATATTACTAATATGTAAAGGATCTACAAAGCGAAAGTATGTTTCGAAGTCCATTAAACAAAAAGTGGAATTGCTGCAAAAAAATGGATAAAGGCATATCCTTTGTTTATCTAAACTTTGTTTATCTTTAACGCCGTAGCGTGCAATGAATTGGAAGTTGATCTGTCAGCACTATCCTTATCTTCAGGGCAGATGTTTTTATAATTCCTTACTAAATGTAGTATTTCATCTCGATGTACTCCGTCTTTGATATGATTTAAATCAAATTCCTCGTCATTATAATTCGCTTCCGATAGCGAAGAAAGTGACAGAGGTTATTGAAAACGAAAAAATTTTGATTGACAAACTAGTCGGTATTCTCCACACAGCAATTATAGGACTTGAACAGCGGAACTTTGTAAATGAACAAGAAATTATGTCTGTTTGTAGAATTAAAGAGAATGTATTATCACATAAAAAGCGAAGCAACTTAAACTACTTACATTGAAAGAAATGTTTAAATAAGTAAACAAATAAATATTAATTAAGCTTTTTTTTTTTGTAATTTTTGATACCCTTTAACATCATTATTGTTCTTTATTTCAAAAATTACGGTTTCATATTTTTAATTTTATAATTTCTGCATGCCATCTTACCAGGTTTAAACTGATGATCTATAATCCGGAATCGCCGAAGTCCCGATGAGTCCGGATTAACGACTTTTGACTGTATAAAGAATCTCTTCAGAAATAATATGCACAACATACTTTTCCTCTCCCGTTTTTCAAGCAGTAAAATTTAATAGAAAGAGGAGAGAATGTGCGAGTAAATACAGTGTAATATACACATATATCAAGAACAACAGAGAAAAATGTAATAGATTTAAGTATACTCAAACACATAAAAATAAATAATAATAATCATAATAAAACTCCTAAAGGGGAAGGAGAGTCCTGACTTTATAGTCTTGGGAATATTTAATAAAAAGAAGATGCTGATTTCTGACACTATTTTAATGCTAATGGCTTAAAAATTTTTCTTATTTTTTAAGGTTAGGTATTATTAATGTAATCAGACTTGATTTTTCAAGTAAATTACTAGCTCAATTTTCATGTCTACTTTCAGTTGATTACTATGACTTAGAAACTATTAACAAAGAAAAAAGGGGGGGAATTGAATGATATTCTACTGATACTTCGGTTCTATTCTGTTCAATTGAAGGTTCAAATGTAGAAAATATATAACACATATGAAGACACATTCCTATTAAGATAAAAACAACCAGTGCTGCTATAAATTGCAAAACAGCACTACCTTGATATATATAAAGCAATAGGTCCTGAGTTTTATATATATAAATGTAGGATTATAAGAAAATATGATAGTTGTTTTAAAAATAATTGGCAACCTCAAAATTAACGATTCTAGATTTGCTGCTCTCCCCCTAAATTTATCTGTTCTCCCAAATTCAAGATCCTTCCATGATTATATAATAACCTAAAACTAGCCAGTCATAACTTGTCTCTAAATTACGTCATTTTTAGTATAAATACTCTTGGCACAATAAACTATGTCACTCTAATCCTTTCCCTAAGTGCTCCTCTGTCCTCCCAGTGACATTTCATTTCTTAGATGCCCACATCATTTCTTTAAAAAAAAAAAATGATGTTCATAGAAATTCATAATATTTAATTATGATTGAATAGTGTCTGGCAAATTAATTGAATATGCGTGAAAATAAAGACCGGTAATTTGTCGGAATCCAGTTTCGTTTTCTTCGTCTCATCTTGCCACTCTACCATTATGACAATGCATCAAAATTATTATACATATATATATATTTATCCCATTTTACTTTTGTCTTTTTCTACTTCTTGATAGTTTTCCCATGGCCTGTATGGTAATTTTGTTCTTCAGAGTTTTTGCAGTAGTCTTAGTACTTTTTATTATTTTTGCTTAATTATTTACATTTTACTATATAAAGTGTATTTTTGTTTTCTCTGAATACAAATGCATGTAGAAAGTTGATCTGAACTCATTTGAGATTCATTATAATGGTTATACAAAATTGAAGCGTAATGGTTTGGTTTTAAGTCTCGAGTGGACCAGAGGAACAAAACATGTATTTGGAATTCATTAATCGACCAAATTTAAAGTTTCAAACACACTTCCCTTGACAAGTTCTGTTTGAAACGTTAAACAAGGGACATTAATAACTTTTCCTTCTGTTAAACGTTATTACAACTTTTGGCAAAGTTTCTAGAATGCTTTCAATATAGTTTCAATGTTTTTACTTTTTTAATACACTTTTAAGTTGTTTTATTCATATTCTCCCGTACTGAATGATTTATGCTATGACTTCATCACTTTTTCATTAGATAAGATAATTAGGAGTTCTTTTCACACTTAACTTTGAATTTATGTGTATTCACCTTTTTCCATCAACTAGAATTGATTATATATATGTATATATATAGCATGAAATTCATAATTTCAAGAACTTCATGCTGATAGTTTTCTTAAAATAAAAAAAAAAAAAAAAAAAACTCACACAGTACAAATAATTATAAATTAACATTTTTATAAAATATTTCATACATTTCTCCTAAGAAAATAACATTAGAAATTGAATTAAGAAAATTACAAAATTTTATTCCCAGTCATCATCATTATCGCCAGATGTATCTTCAGATTGCTTGGAGAGTGGAGGAGGAGGTATCATGGCAGATATTTTTTCCAGAGCTGACTGTGGATTGACTGCTGAGGTTGGTTGTGAGTTACTATCTGAAACACTTCCAGTTCGATTAGCTCCTAAAAAATAAGACCCACATTTAATGCATAAGAATAAAAACAAGAGGGAGGATAATTCAGACACTCTAATTAAAACAAACAAGAATCTAAAGAATAATATTAAGATTATGGACCTTAAAACAACATTAGTTTCACCTTTTTCTCTGTGATTCTCTTATATATATATTCTTAAAAAAAAAAGTACTTGTGGGACTAAAAAAATTTTTAATGCAAAAATCCTATACTAAAGCTACAAAGGATTGAATTAAAACATTTACTACAAAAGAAGACAAAATTAAGATTATCCTATCTAAGGAAAAAGATGTAGGAGGGAATACTTAAGAGGTCTTAAAAGTAAAAACAGAAATTTAGATAGGTCAAAAGGTTTGTTGTATGGGATATAATATGCTGAAAACTTTGGTACAAACCTCAAAATTAAAGTAGCAATGAAAAATTAATACCTGAAAAAATAAATACACAGGTCAAAAAGTTAATCACCCCTATTTTTTGATTCAAACAGGACTTGTTAAGGGGTAAGCATTTAAAGCATTAAACCGGGTTGATTAATGAGAGATGAATAACATGTTTTATCCCTCTCAAAGCTGTAAGAGTTCAGACCGTTGTAAATTAATTTGCTTTTGAAAAATTATTTCTAGGTAGTGTCACACTGGTGAAGAGCTTCCAACACATGTTATACGACTTCTTTGAATTAAAGTAAGAATAAAAACCTCATAAAAGTAAAAAAAGTGTTAATAAATGAATTAAAACACACAAAAAATAAAAACTCATTACATACAAAAATACATTAAATTGCAAAAAAAAACTAGTAGGAACATATAAAAACATAGAGGAGGGACTCATAAAAACACGACACACTATTATGCTACTTTGAATACCAAAAAACTTCAAAATAACCTTAAGAAATTAATTCAAGATGAGTATTGCCCCCCCAAAAAAAATCTCCTTAAACTACTTCACAATTTCAAAAATAAAATTTTATGGGTACTTTTTAATTACTTCTAACAAACATACAAAGGTTAAAAATTATCAGAGCTGGTTACTGACTTCTGTAAATTTAAATTGGAAAAAATCTAATTTCTGACTAAAAAAGTTTACTATAAACTTTAATTATCCTATCTATGATTTGCTTATAATTAATCAGATTTTTAAGACCTATCAATACCTTTTTCCTGATCCAAATTGCAAAACAATATACTGTTTTAAATTTAGAATAAACATGGGTAACTTAATAACTAACCACCATAAGTTAGAAGACAAAACTACTTGAGTGTACAGACTACCAGAATATTAACCTTTTGTTGATCAGCACCATCAGTATATTATCATTGGAAATTTACATACTGTAGAAGATCCAACATTAACTTTGACCAGTCTTCAAAGTAAGCAAAAAATTCTGCATTAATAACTTCAAAAATAACAAACACATTCATCATTTCTACAAGCTATTAAAACTAATTTGTCCACTATGACATTTTTAGAATGGAAAGTAGCAGTTTTAAAGAACTTCAAACTTAGCATCTCGCTTACAAACAAACTGCAATATTCCCTTAACAAAAAGAAACTAGATCATAAAACCAATCGCCTACATAAAACCTTCACAGTTACTAAAATCGACAAGGCAGGCTTTTTATTACAACATTATTGGAAAAAAAAGTACAGAATACTATTAATCATTTAAAAAAGAGAGAAAAAAAGAACCACACACACATACGTAGCGTATTCGGAAACTAAGTACTGTTTCATTCTAGCGCCGTCGCAGCGTTGTGGTAGGCGTCCCGCGCATGCGCACTAGTCTTTCTTGTTCACTGACTTTCAATTGTCGCCATTTTATTTTGCTCTATGTTGTGTTTTCAGTTTGCTGTGCACATTCAAAATGTTTAAGACAATTAGTTCTCCCGCTGACTGTGAGATTTGTGCCGTGATTAAATTTTTGAACGTGAGGAATGTTAAACCGGCCGAAATTTATCGTCAAGTGACAGAAGTTTATGGTGAATACGCATTAAGTGATAAAATGGTGAGAAAGTGGGTAAGAATGTTTAATGCAGGTCGAACAAATGTCCTCGCCGAGGCTCGGAGTGGTCGGCCTTCTGTTGTCACCGATGATTTGGTAAGGAAAGATAATAAAGCAATTCATGAGAACAGACGCTTCACAATGACAACTCTTTCAGAGGCATTTCCACAAATTTCACGTACTGTTTTGTTCGAAAGGGTTCCAAAAATGCTCACTGATGTTCACAAAACAGAGCGACTTTGTAGTGCCCTGACATTTCTCACGTGGTACAGTGATGAGGGAAAAAACTTTTTAAACCAAATTTTGACAGGTGATGAAACTTGGGTGTGTCATTTCACACCAGAATCGAAACAACAATCGATGGAGTGGAGACACACTCATTCTCCGAAAAAATAAAAGTTCAAAGTGACAATGCCATCACAAAAAATCATGTGCACTGTCTTCTGGGATAGGAAAGGGGTTTTGCTTACTGAATTTCTTCCCAGAGGTGAACCATTAATGCAGCACGATATTGGGAGACTTTAACAAAACTAAGGCGTGCCATTCAAAACAAATGAAGAGGAATGCTCAGTAAAGGAATTGTGTTGCTCCATGACAATGCTCGGCCCCATACTGCTGGTGTCACTCAATCGTTAATTTGACAGTTTCATTGGGAGCAGTTTGATCACCCGCCGTACAGCCCGGACTTGGCGCCGTCCGACTATCACTTGTTCCTGCACATGAAGCACGAGCTTGATGGCAAGCGCTTTGGATCTGACGATGACACAAAAAAATGCTGTGGAGTCGTGGTTATTGAAACTGGCGGGAAGTTTCTTTGACGATGGTATACAAAAACTGGTCACCCGTTATGACAAGTATTTGATCATTGGTGGAAACTATGTTGAAAAATAGTTTAAGACATGTATTTTCATGTAAAAATAAAATTGGATTCGAAAAATTGTTTTGCTATTTTTTTTTTCCAAAACGGTACTTAGTTTCCGAATACGCCTCGTACACAAGTTTATCCTGTCCTCAAAAACAAAATGAAATTTAAAATTTCAGTTTCAACAGACTGCAAGAGATTTTCTAACCTTTACGCACTTCCCAAATTTACAAGACCTCAAATTCAGATTTATTGCCAATAGACTTAAGAACCTCATTGAAGAAACAGACTTAAAGTCCTCTGAAAAGCTTAATTCTCAACATCATTACTAATTCTGCTAATCAGGAACACAATTACAAATGAATTATCAATAAACCCGTACTGATTTTGGCTGCTGTAAAAGATCTTGAAATTAAAAATATGAATTGCTACGACTTTGAAAACTTGTATATGATGCTTCCAATAAACGAAATTTTTAATAGTCTCTTAACAGTGTGTACGCTCTTTCCAGAGATTCTAGTGATAGTATCACAAAAAAAAAAAAAAAAAAAAAAAAAAAAAAGGTCCATTACCCTGAAAAGTGTGCTTTTTCACTAATACATCAAATTTAATATTTCTGTTTATAAACAGGTTAAGAGTATCAATATAGCCTCACATCATCTTCAGCACTTAGTAACTTATACCTATTTACTGGTAAATATCAATTCCAAAAAGTGCTAAATTAATTTATTTTTGCAATGAATTTTTGCAATATTTTCAGATACGACAGCTTAGCAACTAATCATTTTGGGAAAATCAAAACAACTAATATCTAACCTCATTGCTTGAAACTTAATAAAAGTAACTTTGTACAAGAAAATATCAATTACTTAGATGTAAACACTTCATTAAAAAAAGAGAGAGAGAGAAGATAATTTAATTTCAATAACATCACACTTATTAAATGGCATTCCAATATCCCCAAAAAAGTGATACTTCATATTATTCACACTCAACTAATTAGGATCAAAAAATGTTTGCAATGATGTAAATTTTTTACAAGAAGGTCAACTTTTAATAAATCTTCTTACTGAAAATAGAACTAACAAATTTAAAATTCATCAAATTTTAAAAAAGGCATGCCTAAACTACAATTTTTAAATTACTTATTGACAGCTATATGATAATTTTACACTCAAAAGAGAGGCAGGTAAAGTGGGGTGGCTTTTACGTGTAATTTAATGTTCATACGAAGGTTGATCCAAAAAAATGTTTACAAGCAGAAGCATTTGAAACGTAATAATTGTGGAGTGAATATTTCCACCTAGGGTGGTTGACAGATGGCATTAGTTGTCCTACAGCAGTTCTACTAGTAGCGTCAGTACGCGACACTTAAGATGACAGTAATGGCACAACGCTAGAAAGTGGTCTCGCATAGAGGTGCAGCAGTAATTCAATTCTTATGGCCAAGAAATGTGTCCGCATCCAAAATTTACAGACAATCGTTGAGGTATAAGGGGACAAAGCAATGAGTAGACAACAGGACCAAATGGTGTCGTTCTTATCAAGTGGCAGGAGCATGTGAAAACCGCAAAATGGAAGTGAGCGGCTTTGTTCAAGTTCTTCAAGGACGGATATCAACACGGCAGTGTTGAAGAAATCATCCAAAGGGATGACAAGAACTGTGCGCGCGATTGCCCTCAGTTTGACCTGAGTTATGGTAACGTTCAGCGTATCGTAACAACGTTTTCACTGCGTGAATCACCCTTTTCAATTCTTAATAGCTGTCATGATGAAGTGGCAGGTTCACAGCTCACAACACCTTGACGCACTTGATTCACACCACCATTTGACTTTAGCACTCTGCGTATTGGCAATGTTTCTGTATATAACAACAATTAACAAGAATACATGGTTATCAAGGTAATTTCATTTTTCAGTATGCATATAAAATATAAAGATTTCCAATACCAAAGAGATTATTTTTCAATTATATAAAAAAATTCCATTTCATGGGTACCTGTACAAGTCAAGTTTACAGAAAAAAGTAAATCAAAAAAGTCTGATAAGTACAAATTACAATACAGTACTGACTAAGGTGTTAATACAATTCTGTTGTGTAAACCAGAATCAAGTTCTTAAATCTTT